TCACTACCACCTCCAACTCAACCTCAACCTCTTCCTCAACCTCCTCAACCTCCTCCTCCTCCTCGTCCTCGTCCTCGTCCACCTCCTTCATCGTTTCCTCTTCCTACTCGTCCTTACTTTCCTAGATATCCATCAGTCTTTTTTCATCTATCCGTCAGTCAGTCCGTCCGTCCGTCCGTCTATCCGTTCATCTGGCATTACCATCGTTACCAAAGCCTATGCAAATCTTCGAGAACCTTTCTTTTTTTTTCTCCTTTTTGTTGGTTGGTTTTTTTTTCTTTTTTGTTGATGTCGTCTTTTTTTTTCTTTTTTTTTCTTTTTTCTTTTTTTTCCTTCCTTTTTTTTTCGCGTTAAAGACGATCCAATGAAAAGTTTCTATTCAGTAATAATCTTCGCGTCGCCTTGGATTAAACGAGCGATTCCACGACGTGTATCTCTCTTGTCCTTTTTTTCTTTCTTTCTTTCTTTCTTTCTTTCCTTCTTTCTTTCTTTCTTACCATCTCCCTCATCGCCAATTAGTACCACGACACGAATTCTCTCCGCTTATCCTCGGGTACGATATAAGACGAAGAAGTCGTTTGTCGTCGTCTCTTTCATTCCTTAACTCGACATTTCGTTTATGTTTCTTTACATTTATTAATGCGATTAGTATAAAACGGATTTGTTGGAATAACATTTCTATGGTCGTAGTTCGTTTTAAATACAGTGTTGAATCGAACGATTTTGTAAGATAATTTTTTTCCCCTTTTTTTTTCTTTTTTTTCGTTCAACAATTCGTTTCTCATTTCGTAAATATTAAATTTTCTTGGCTTCTTTTTTTTTTCTTTCTTTCTTTTTTCTTTTTTTTTTTTTTAGTATAGACGTATCCTACGGTCTTATTCTCTCTATGTACTTTTACAAAATGTTCGACGATATCAAAACGAATCGTTAGTCGTAAAAATGCTATCCCAATATTTTCCTGCATGGGATAGGGGAGAAGAGCTAGTGGGTGGTCTTCTTCTTTTTCGTGGGTATCGCGATAATAGGTGTTTGTGCGAATGTCGTGCACCCTTACAGAGGGATCACGACAAATCGACTTGCCGATGTCACTCCCGCTGAATCGCTTCCATTCACTAATTGTCCCTACTTTTGTATCCCGTCGAAGGTCTAAGAATCGAAAGATATCGTTCTTTCGATTCAGACCTATTGTCGAAATACATCCCTCGCTTTCTATGTTCTTCTTTTTCTGTTTTTCTTTTTTTTTTCTCTCTCTCTCTCTCTCTCTCTCTTTTTGTTCTCTTTTTCTCGAACGTCAAAACGTAGTTAAATATTTATAAATACGATAAGATCAATGACCAATATTCTTAAGTGCTTCCTATACGTTCCTACATCTGCGTTCAAGTAATATATTCAAATATTTAATTTAATTCCGTCGTAATCGTGTTTGCAGGATATTTTATTTAAAAATCAAAGAAAAAAGAAAAAAGAAAAAAAAATAAAGAAAAAGAAAAGAAACAAGTCGAATATCGCATCAATAAAAATTAATTAATTATTCGAGAACACTTACTTGTGCAGGTGCAGCGAGACCAGCAGACATTGCTGCTGCCGATTGCTGAGCAGCCGCTGCAGCCGCAGCGGCCATACTAGCTGCGGAAAGTGAACCGTAAGCTGCTGCTGGCCCATAATATGGTCCCATACCGGCTTGTCCCATACTACCGGCCATTCCTATAACAATAATCGTAAAAACTTACAATTTAATTATCTTGTAATATCATATGTATTAGATATATTAGATTTTCTCTATTCGTTCATTTATTCTATTTATTTATAAAATAATTTCAAGATGATTATGATTGTTAAAATGATGTTTTACAAGGGAACGTTACAAGTGACACATAGTATCCAGCATATCGATCATTTCTGTCGAACAAACGAGAATATGAGGGAGAGATAGAGTGTGTGTGTGTGAGAGAGAGAGAGAGAGAGAGAGAGAGAGAAGAAGAAGCGCTTCATTGTCCGAGAATCGACAAAGCAATGAGAAGACGTCGTTCATAGCTCGTTTAAATGGCCGGAGTCTATACGGAAGAAAATCATAAGAAAAAAAAAAAAAAAAAAAAAAAGAAAAAAAAAGAAAGAAAGAAGAACGATGATTGGCATCGAGTTCTTAGATTTATGATCTTTTCGATCGATAATCGAATGATCACCAACGAATACACGTTTCACGTGTATATCTCGAATAACGATGGCTTATGATAACTCGTACATTTTAAAGAATATTTACCGATGATTGTATGACAAAGAATGATGAATTTTTCTAAGGTCCCGATATGTTCGATAAGCCTGACGAATCGAAGGAAAGAAGAAAAAGAAAACCAAAACAAAAAAAAAGAAACAGGCAAATAAATAGATAAAAAAAGGAAAATATAAATAAATGTTTCGAAGATTATTATTTTTATATTGTAATATAATTCTCTAATCGCCAAATAAATTCCATCGATCTAAATCGATTCGGCTTATCTTTTTCGATGTTATTTTACCCTAAGTTAGATTATAGGTAGGATTACAACGGAACAGATGTTCGATGATTCAAGCGTGTAATACGCTTCGACGATCCCCTATTGGTTTGCACAGATTTGTTTGACATTCTCTTGATATTCTCCATTGTTTTCATTCTTTACACCTCCTCTTCTTCTCGATCATTATCCTTTCTCTTGCTCGATTACGTAATTTTCTATCTATATATCTGATTTTTTTTTTTTGTAATCTATTTATTTATTTTAATATGTCTTAAAATAAAAGAGAATGTACAAATTTAGAAAATAATACCTACAGAAGAGAGAGAGAGAGAGAGAGAGAGAAAGAGAGAGAGGGACACGTGAAAACAAAGTTCAAATGTGATCTACGTATGATCGATATATATATATCGGCTATCACTGATAGTTCAAAAAATTTGACAAAAAATTTGCAGTCACAAGTAATGTAAAAAGAAAGAAAGAAAAAAAAGAAAAGAAAAAATAATATTCGAATGAAAAAAATATACGAAATGTAGAAGCAAAAAACGACAGAAACGTTCGCGCCTTGAGAATGCTGACAAAAAAAAAAAAAAAAGAAAAACATCATTCTAAAAAGAAGAAAAGAATTATAAATAATATATCAGAATTATTTAATTACAATATTGTTGATTGCAACAATCGTGAATTGAGAGAAAGCAAAGGATGATTAATAACGAAGGAAGGATAAAAAAAAAAAAAGAAAAGAAAGAAACAAAAAAAAGGAAAGAAAGAAAAAAAAAGAAACAGGTTATTATAAGAAGGACTGGCGGATAATATAAATCTGCCAAGGAAGGGAATTATAATTTACGCGACAAAGCGCCACTCATCATGCTTTCCTTAATGATATCAAGAAGGGCCGATGATGGTGTTGGTGATGTTGGTGGTGTTAGTGATGGTGGTGATGGTCGTGGTGGCAATGCGAATGAGTAAGTCGGAGGGTCCCGTAAAAGAGAGAAGTACGCGAAGAAAGGGCAAGGGGGAATAAATCGTCGAATAATTCCCTTCGGCGCGTAAGGGCCCTATTTGTGCGCGACTCGTTCCGGAGTCGTGAGACGATTCATTGGTTGTAGCCACGCGAACGCATAAACATGTCGCAGTGAACGCGTTATTTATCGAATTGTCTCAAGTTCCGTGCGAATGTCCGGTGAACGAAGTTAACTTACGCAAAAAAGCCTCGGGACGAAATGAAGTTCGACGTAAAACTTTTGCGAAAAGATATACGAGTTTTTCTTTTCTTTTTTTTTCTTTTTTTTTTTTTTCTTTTATTTATTTTATTTATTTTATTTTATCTTATTTTTTTTTTCTTTTTCTTTTTTTTATTTGTTTCTCTTTTCGAACAAACAAAAATCGACATAGCGAGAAATAAACGTTAATAAAATTAGTCGTTGATAAGAAAAAAAAAAAAAAAAAAAAAAAAAGAGAGAGAGAAAAAGAAATAGGGCAAAAAAGTCAATTAATCGAAAAAAAAAAGTAAAACTATACATTGTTTCACGTAAATCTTTTTTTTTTTTCTTTTCTTTTCTTTCTTAAATTAAAATATACTGACGTTTGATTTTTATAAATTTTTGTTTTATGAATCATCGACTATCACAATCGCTTTCGACAATAATACAAATAAATTAAAATAATTATGTTATATATGAAGGGACCACCTCTGTCGTTTTATGTCGAGTAAAGAGAGAAAGAAAAAGGGGAAAGAGGAAAAGAAAAGAAAAGAAAAGAAAAGAAAAGAAAAAAGAAAGACAGAAAAAAAAAAATTTCTAACAGCATTACCACGAGGAGGCGGCATATTTCGCGTTTGCGTTTATCGTACTGCCTCCCATTAGGCCGCTTTTTATAGTGAACTCTCCGATGGGGAAAGTAGAAGGATATGGGAAGGTAAGAGAGGCGGAGAGAGAGAGGGAGGTTAGGTAGTAGAAGTAGGGTCGAAGAGGGGGAGGCGGGGTTTGGCGGTAAACCCTGATCCTCGTCCCTTTGAAGTAAACTTTAGTATTTAGACGCACTGGTACATAGTCAACATCAAGTCTTCCGTATTGGTTTCCTCGATACAGGGAACAACAAATATGGCTTAAGACGCGATAAAATGCCAAACTACGGCAATTATCGTCGATTCGAAGCGATGCTTTTCTTTCGTTAAAACCGGACGAAGTAAATAAGTAGTATCTACGTGATATAGAAAGTGTATATATATATATATATTAATGTGCGTGTACGTTTACGTGTGTACGTGCGTGCGCGTATGTATGTGTTTTTCGTTAAGCAATAGGGTTAAGTCCCAGCCGGGAGCAGAAAGAACATCTCAGAAATTTCAACTTAAGCCGATAATTTATCCCAACCACCCACGCGCAACTCTCCACACGCGTGGCACCGTTTGCACTGTACCTACTGAAAAAATAATAATAAGAAAAAGAAAAGAAGGAGGAAGAGGAGGAGGAGGAGAGGAGGAAGAGGAAAAAGAAGAAGAAGAAGAAGAAGAAGAAGAAGAAGATGGAGGAAGAGGAGAAGAATGAATTTCTTGCGAAACAGAGAGAGAGAGAGAGAGAGAGAGAGAGAGAGAGAAAGAGAGAGAGAGAGAGAGAAAATGAGTATAAGGAAAGAGAGAACCGAAGGTGGAAGGCTACGACCGATAAATCGAGGATTACCGATCACCCTTTTGCCCGTGGAAGTCGCGTGGGCGGTTTGGGGATAAATTCCAGCCTTAAAAGTATCCCCATCGCCATTGCCGGAATTAATAATTTTCTTCGGCTGTTCCCGCGAATAATATGCGGCCGTATCGTTCCCGCAGGAGGGTGAAATCGTGAATGAATGAAACCGATCGACAACGCGAGGATTATTCTCGTACATATATACATGAACGTTGTGTTCCTTGGCAGATTTCTTTTCTTTGTTTATCAATGACGTTTCTATATCTTTCATTTCTCTCTCTCTCTCTCTCTCTCTCTTTCTCTCTTTTTTCTTTTTCTCCACCCCGTCTTTTTCCTCTTCCTTTCTTTTTTTAATTTTTCTTTTTTTTCTTTTTTTTTTTTTTTTAAAAGCCTCGAATTGTATATGTAAAACATTGAACGATTTTCAAATTCAATTATCCATCTAGTTCTGTAACATTATCGTTTATCGTGTTGATAAAAGGAAATAAGAGGAAGAAGAAGAAGAAAAAGAAAAGAAAAGAAAAGACAAACATAAGGAATAAGAATACGAAGATAAAGAGGAGGTGAAGGAGGAGGAGGAGGAGGAGGAGGAGGAGGAGGAGGAGGAAGAAGGAGAAGAAGGAGAAGAAGAAGAAAATCTTCCTTTTTCAAAACGATTGCCATCGAGTTAAATATTAACAGAGTTTCTTTCATTATCCATTCTTCGCTTTTCATCTGGCATATGTTTCGTAAAAGAAACGAGACAATGTTGCAATCGTTTCGAAGTAATTGGAAGCATTACGAAGCAGGTAAAGTGCAGCCTTCGCATTATTATCGAAACAAGTGGAATATTGCATATAACTTAAGCATATATGTTGTACATAAATACGATCGATTCGACCTATCATCCGCCGTCATATTCCTACACGAATGGGGACTATCTTTAGAAATTTTATTGGATAAATAGATAATTGAATTGATCGACGTTTATTGGAACGTATGAAATAGGCTTGCCTTTTTTGAAACCTTTTACTAACCCTTTGATAATTTCATTAATCGGATTTCATATTTCTATTTCTTTATTGAGTATTTGACTTTGGAAGAAAGGGAAGAAAAGAAAGGAAAATAATTAAGAAAAAAAAAAAGAAAAAAGAGAGAGGGAGAGAGAGAGAGAGAGAAAGAGTAGAAAATAAAAATTGTATATACATATATAGATAAAAAGAAAAAAAAAGGAATTAAGAAAACCGAGAACAGAGAGAGAGAGAGAGAGAGAGAGAGAGAGAGAGAGAGAGACAGAGAGACAGAGAGAGATAGAAATGAAAAATGTTCATTTTCTTCGCTTGAGAGAAACGCAAATGTCTCGTCTTATATATGTGTTTACGCAAGTGTAGACGACGAACTCGCGATATTTGTCACGACGTCTGAACGTTCGTCGACGATTGCATCGCTTAGTCGCGACGCGAAGAGAAACGGAAGTGCGCATCTTTGATGCCAGAAGATCGGAACAATGAAGGAGCCATTACCACCGGATCGTTCGAGGAAGCGGGCGTAGGAAAAAATAAAGGAAATAGAAAAGGAGTCGAGGGGAAAAAGAAAGAGTAGGAAAGAAAAAGAATGGGAAAGAGAAAGAGAAATGATATAAAGAGAAAAAGGGAACGGGGGGAGGGGGGAGGGGGGTGGGGGTTGGAAGAAAAAAAGGAAAAAAAGAAAAAAGAAAGAAACGAAAAAGAAAATAGGGAAGACGACTTTTCGAAACCGCCATTATGAGATTTCCGAGCGTGTTTCCCGGAGGGCATTGAAACCACTCTGTGTGCTTTCTAAATGACAATACGATCGAAATGCCAACCCTCGGGAGATTCGAGATAAGATAAGAATATCAAAGGCGACTACGAGAAACGATTCTTTTATTCTGCTTGATTAAAACGCCGAAGTTTTCGAATTTCATTGGATAAAAGAAAAGAATGAGAAAGAAGATTTATTCTATATTCTATAACCGTTTCGTACTTCATTCGACTAGTTTTGTCTAATTAGTTTTACAGGCTGATTTATAGGGTTAATATATATATATATATATATATATATATATATATATATATATATATATAAGGTTATATCCTGTGTATCGATTTAATAACCTTTATCATCGATTTTCAAAGTGTATTGTCGCGGAACCACTTTGCCGGATTCCAATTCAAAGATTTTCGCAATGTTTAATGATCGAATTATCGGAACAAGTCAAATTCGATATTACTACTGTCAGATGATTCCTGGCAAACAGTAGATTATATTATGGCAACTTTTGCAATTATTGGAAAATTTTCTGACGATTCGCATAACGAAAAAAAAAGAAAAAAGGAAAAAGAAAAAAAAAAGAAAAAGAAAAGAAGAAAAAAAGGAAGATTTAAATATCCAACTATATGATCATGTCTAACTAATCAGATATATACGGGTTTTTTAAAACATATCTATTACCGGCTCGTAGTGCATCCATTGGAACGCTTGGATAAGGAATGCTATAAGGATATCCCTCCTTGCGTAATGTTTTAGGCTTTCTTCTAGGTCTGTACTTGTAATCAGGATACTCCTTCATGTGTTGCGCCCGCAGCCTTTTAGCTTGATCGATGAATGGCCGTTTCTCGTCTTCGGTTAGCAACTTCCATTCGGCACCTATAAATTAAACGAATAAAATCGAATGTAACACTTTGAAATTTCTTAATGAAAAGCTTTTTGAAAATTAAAAAGATAAAAACGAGAGAGAGAGAGAGAGAGAGAGAGAGAGAGAGAGAAAGAAAAATAACGCGTCGGATGAATTATGGTTCTAATGAGAACACTGTTCGAAACTGTTCGAAAATTGTGATGAAAAGGACAAGAAACAGAGAAACAGAGACAGAGAGAAAGAGAGAACGAGAGAAAGAGAGAAAGAGAGAGAGAGAGAGAGGGAGAGAATGATGACGATGACAACAACACGCACTTTGTAAACCTCCCACTGTTATAGTTACACGAATAACGCTTTGGATCAATGAATACAAAGGCCATTGGTGGATGTACTACATTTGTTCGTGGTTGAAGCGTCGCTTGCATCACGATGCTGTCGGTGTCCTAGTCGAGACTGGTGGACACGAGCGTTATGATTGAATTGATCGACGTGCGGATGTTGTGCATTGTTTAATGGCGCGTCGATTATTATCGACTGCGCTGCATCCCACGATTTTTACCTCCAACCGCACTGCTCTCCCTCAACCCCCTATCCCTCTATTACTCCCATGCGCCTACTCTCTTTTCCATCCCCCTCACCAACACCGACTCTTCTTCACTGATCCCATTTTCTATATTTCTCTCTGTTTTTCCATACCATGGTAGATTGCTGAACATGCGAATCAAAGTTTAAAATGTTGCCATGTCGACGAGCTTTTAAAAGAAAGGAAAAAAGGAAAAAAAAGAAAAAAAAAAAAGAAAAAAAAAGGAAAAGGGAAAAAAATAGCGAAAAAAAAACCAAATATATATATATATATATATACATATATCACGAAGAAGAAAATATTCTTTTCTTTTCTCCTTCTATTCCTTTTCCATTCTGTTTCTATCATATTTCTTTTCCTTCCTATAATAAAATAACAATATTCCCGTTCTCTTTGAGAAACGTATACGGAATAAATAAGATCTATCGAAGACTATTTCTAAATCTATAAAAATTCATATTCTCGAAATGTTTCATGAAAAAAAAAAAAAAAAAAAACAAATGGAATTAGATGATCATTATAAAAACTGATGTAATTTGTGAATCAAAATTCGATTGGTCATACTGAATAAAATGTTATAGAAGGTAAGGATACTGGAGTCACGTTATTTCTCGAGATAAACGGAAAGAGAAAGAGAGAGAAAGAGAGAGAGATATGTGCAAAGAGAATCGCTAACACGAAAGCAAAGCTTGCTGTGCTCGCGTAGCGAAACGCTTTTACGACCCTCGAGCGTCGTCGTGTCGCGAAGCTTTCTCTCTCGCCACCGACGAGAATTGTTTCACTGGGAATTAATTACCACTTGTTGTTGGTGCGCCGCCGGCATCGAGAACAAAGAGAACGAAACCCTGGGTATCCTGCGAAACGCTTTCTATCTACGTACATGTACCTATGTATATGTATATGTATATATATATATATATATATATACACATACACACCTGTCAGTTTTGAAGTCAGTGGCGATATTATGTATACAATAGTTGAGAGATTCGTTGACAACGACAACGTTATTTTCATATTTTCTGGAAAATTTTAGACGAATCTTTCTCTTTCTCTTTTTCTTTTTCTTTCTCTCTATCTATCTATCTAGTAACACGTCTGACACATAAAATTCTTCAAAATAATGACGCATCGAAATAAAATTTTATTTGAAATTTAATTACAAATAGATACGTACTATTAACTGATATAAAATAAATAGATATTAGAATTTTATGAGATCATATTTTATCTACCTTAATATATTCGTTAAATGTTATTCTTTTATTTATATAAATTTACCCAAATTATTTTTAACTTATTGATACGACTTTAAACGTCTACTTATATTTTACAATAATACTCCGTCGTCTTCTTTGAAAAAGTATTTCTTTGTAACGAAAAATGAAGAAGATATCGCTGAAATGTCTATCAACGTGTGTGTACGAAAGAAAAGGATTCAGAAAACGTATGATCGTAATATTCATACGTCCACGGTAGTTTTATATCTTAAGGATACAACATCAGCAACAGTAATAACAACGATGACGACGAAGACGATAATGGCGACGGCGACGTTGGCGACGATAACGATAAAGAAATTCGAGATATCGAAGAAGGAAAAAAGGAAGGAAGGAAGGAAGGAAAAGTGAAAAATAAGGAAGGAAGTGAAGAATAAATGTTCTCGATACCCGAGGACACAGTGAAATTAATCTACACGCGTGTTGAAATTCTTCGTGCGAGGAAGAGTGGAAGAAATGAGAGCAAAAGAGAAATAGAAAGAGAAAAGAAAAAGAAAAAGAAAAAGAGGGAGACAGAGAGAATGAATTCACGTTGTTCGCGAGACCTTTTTACTCTTTCTCTGTCTATCATTCTTTCTCCTAGTAGTTTGCTAGCAGCAGGCTATGACAATGGGAAGAGAGTTGCTTTCTACAAACCTATATCGAGGCACATAGAGCTAAACAATACGAATACGTGGTGACTTACAATGAATCGGAAAGAATGGTACCTACGTAAAAAAAAAAAAGAGAGAGAGAGAGAGAGAGAGAGAGAGAAAGGGGAAAGAACGAGAATAAAAAGGAAAATTCTTTATTTCAATCGTTCATGTGACGAATAATGCATATCTATGTTGACACCAACACTACGATCAATCATTATGTTTCTTCCAAAATTCATCGAAAGTGACGGAGTTTATACGTCGATGATGAAAGTAAGAGGAAAGTCAATGCGAAATGTCAAGTTTACTTCCTCTATTTATAGTAGTATTATGCTTTATCCAATCGATACGGGTTTTCTCGTTAGAAAGGCAGGTGGTAGAGCGACGAACTAGGTGGGTAGAGTTAGAGGGTAGTCAAGAGTGACGGGTAGGTGGAGAGTGAGTGAGGGGGTGGCTTGGTGTATTTGTTTAGAACAAAGGCTTCCCAACAGCAGCAGTAGCAGCAGTAGCAGCAGTAGCAGTAGCAGCAGCAGCAGCAGCAGCAGAAGTAGTAGCAGTAGCAGAGCAGTAGTAGCATTGACGGTGTTAGTAGTAGGGTATACTCTCTCTTTCTCTCTCTCTCTTTCTCTCCCTCATTCTCTCTCTCTCTCTCTCTCTCTCTCTCTTTCTTGTTTCTTCTCTTCGTCGTTTTCGAAACGACGACGACTACGACGACGATGGCGACGGCGACGATGGCGTCGGCGACAACGACGACGACGACGGCGACGACGACGACGGCGACGACGACGACGACGACGACGACGACGACGACGACGACGACGAGCTTAAAGCACAATGGCGCTTGCTTTTCAGTCCTTTCGCCGACGGACAATGGCGTTTATTTAACATCGTTTAAAAGTACAAAGCCTGTTAATTAATGGACGGGGGTGGAAAAGCTGCCAGAGAAAGGGAAAGAAGGGAATGGAGACCTTCCAGAGGATAACGCGGCCATGCCGACAGACCGACTACTACCACTAATAGGTACCTAACTTCTCTTTTACCCTCTCTTTCTTTCCCTCTCTCTCTCTCTCTCTCTCTCTCTTTCTCTCTCTCTCTCTCTCATTCCTTCTCCTTTCTGTTTTCATTGTCAAAGCGGGGAAAAAGCTGCTGCTGGTTTCGAGAGGAAAGTAATTCGCCGATGAGAGAGAAGAGTCCTAGGTACATTCCTTTTCACGAACATCGACTGAACGAGGAGATGAAGTTTCTTTTTTGCTTTTTTTTTTTTTTTTTTTTTTGTTTTCTTTCTTCCTTTCTTCCTTTCTTTCTTTCCATTTTTGTTGTTGTCGTTGTCGTTGTTGTTTTATCTAAATAAAAAAAAAACAAAAAAAAAAAAAAAAAAAAAAGAAGAAGAAAAAAAACGTACAACGCAAATGTACGCGATCGTAAATGTTAATTTGAAATCTTACGATGAAATATTTCAAAGTCGACCTCTTTCGTAGTTATTTATTATACATACTTATCTTTGTAGAGAGAAAGAGAAAAAAAATATATATATATATATAGAGAGAGAGAGAGAGACAGAGAAAAAGAGAGAGAGAGAGAGATTCCATTCAGTCATAAAAAAAAAAAAAGATTTAACCATCCGTTGTACCGCGAGTAACGACACGAGCCAGAAAGGAGCACGAATCGATCGAACAGAACGTTCTCGTTCTACGTCGACGAGCTGTCCGTGCCGATGAAACGTGGAAATTGGAAAACGTTTCCTATGCTTCTCGTCGTTCGTCGTATGTACGTAGAAGGAGAGTCTCTCTCTCTCTCTCTCTCTCTCTCTTTTTACTTGTCCGATTCTCAACATTTTTCTTTCCTTCTTTTCCTTTCTATTTTTTTTTTCTTTCTTTTTCTTTCATTTTTCCTTCTTTCCTTTTCATTCTTTCTCCTTTTTATTTTTTACCTTTTCCTTCTTCTTCGTTTTTTCTCCCCTCCCCCTTTTTTCTTTCTTCTTTCTTTCTTTTTTTTTCTTTTTTTTTTTTTTCTTTTTCTTTTTCTTTCTTTTTGTTTGTCGTCGCGTAGAAAAGTCGTGTAGCGCCTTTATTTTCCTCATTAATAATATCCCGTATTTATTAACACCTTTTGATATTTGCACTTGGGAACGCTCAATTAAGACGTTACGACGAGAGAATGGGCGCCGCGACTCGAAGAAGGAAAATTGAAAATAATGGCGAAACGAGATGCTAAATAAGACACACAATAAGAATAAATTGTATGCCTTCGTGCTTCCTAGCGTTTCCCTTTTTCAAAGCTCCTCCCCTTCTCCTCTTCCTCCATCTCCACCATTTCCTCCACCATCTCTCATCTCTACCTCCACCTCCACCTCCATCTCCACCTCCTCCTTCTCCTTCTCTTCCCACTTCTTTCTCATTCTCCATACTTTGTTAGCGGCGTTTCCCCTTTCTTACGACGCATTACAATGAGGCCGTTATTTCCGTTACGGAAGCTGCATCGTACCAATTAACGAGAAAAGCCTCGGGGGGGCC